GAAAGCGGAAGAAGGAAAGCGAAAGACGCACGCACGGCGGCAGGAAAATGATTGGGCAAATGAAGCGATAAACCGCGTGGCAAGGTGTTATTACGGCTTATAAAGGTGCTCGTAAAATTTCGCTAATTCTCGCTCGGCTCGTATTTGTCCGGGGCCTTAACCGGCACTCAAGGGCCAGGGTACGCGATCGGAAAACTTTTTCAAAAGTCTTCCTTCTCGGACACCTTTAGACGACGTTGCTCCTCGTCGCCTGCCACCGAGGGGGTATTCACTCGGGAAATCGCAAGCTGAAATCACTGGAAATCATCAAAGCACCGTGATCATTTCAAGGCCGAACGTCTCTCGTTCCCGAATCGCCAACTCGTCGAATCGTCTATCATACGAAATCGAAGGCAATCGACTCTCAAGGAAGGAAATAGCCCCTCGGCTGCCACGTTATTCAATTAAGACTTGTGCTCGATTAGTTTCACCGCGCGTTCGCTTCCCGTGATTAATTATTACTGTAAAAATAAAGACGATCGCGATGAAGCAAGGAAAATAAAGAAGTTTCTTCAATTCTCTGGAGCAATTCGTACACTTTATATCGTTGCGAGGCTGCATAATTTTATCATATACATATAGAATGAAATGTAAAAGAAATATAGCGCAAACGATTACGAGTAAAGACAGAATTGAACAATTATCAATTCTCAATGTTCTATTATTTATAATAGTTTATTCTATATCCGTTTCTTGGCGATTGCCATTCCGCGTATAAATGCTCCGAATTCTGCGATTTTGACATGTCCGTTACATTTTTCTATCAAAGCTTCGGATAAAAGCTTTTCGTCCTAGACGGTCGACGATCAAACTTCGAATAACTCCTCTATTTAACAAGAACTTGGCAAAGTTTCTCATCAAAGCTTTTCGTCCAAAATGCTAGGATCGATCAAATTTCCAATAACTCCCCTATTTAACCCTTTTAGTGCCGGACAACGTCGTTTTCCAAGTGTTAACGACTTCGGTCGGACTAAAGGGGTTCACAAAGAACTTTAACAACGTTTCGTGTCAAAGCATTCCGTCCAAGGTGCCGGAGTTGCCGGTCCGACTTTGGGGCTCGGGAATACCACTCGTGGTCCGAGTCGGCCGGGCTCGGGCTCGGGCTCGGGCTCGGGCTCGGGCTCGGGCTCGGGCTCGGGCTCGGACTCGGTCTCGGTCTCGGTCTCGGACTCGGGCTCGGGCTCGAGCTCGAGCTCGGGCTCGGGCTCGGACTCGTACGCGGACTCGGGCTCGGGCCAGGGGTTCTCCGAGCCGCGATCCTGCTGACCTACTTACTTCCTGTCCTTAGCCGCCTTCCCTCCCCTTCTCGCTTTCTTCCCCCGTCCTCCGCTCGCGGTCCGGTTATCTCCCGCTTACTACCGCACCTTCCACCGGCTTTGTCCTTTGCAGAGGTTCTCGCCCTTTCGTCGCTTTCATCGGCCGCTCGAAGGACAAGCCTTTTCTTTCCGGCGTTCTCCAAGATGGCGGCCAATGCCGGCCGACGGCCGGTCTACGAAGAATGTGGCTTTGCGGGCTGCCAAAACTGGATACACGAGGAAACAAAATTTCGTACATTTAATCTCTCCAAAAAAACACCTTCGGTGTAAAAAAAACTTTGCCAAATACATTTCTATTTTCTACTTCGATTACAAAAATAGTTCGACAATGGAAATGAATTATTTTTGCCAAATACAATAGTATTTTCATACTATTAAAAACTGTAATCGGTTATTATTCAGCTGGCAACTGATTACCGTTTTCGGCAGTCCCCTACCTGTTGGGAGGAGATTAACATTGAACGTTTCGAAGAGAAGCATATACACGGGGTCCAGTATATTACGATATGTATTCGAACACCCGAGCGACGCTTCGATCGTTTTCAACTTCGACCCCGGAAAACGATGGTTCGCTTTCGCTTCCATAACTTCGGCCTCTTGATAAAATTCCTTCGTTTCGTAAATAGCGATGAGTAAATTCCCGACCAAGACCGAAACTACCGCGAGTCTCGATCTCGCCCGATCGAGGGCAGCAACAAAACCGATTTTGCTCGTTTCTGTTCTAAACGTTGTAGAAGGCCGAGCGGTATCGATGCCGGATCAACGACCGAATTCCCGGCGTCTCGCAGGCCTCACGTGTCTCGTCTTTCGTCGAGGCAGCGATCGAGTGTCCCCTTTTTTTGCCCGATTCGAATTATCCCACGGCCACGTATCTCCAGGACGTGACGCCCGAGAGAAATCGCCCTCTTCCCCAACTCCGAATGATTTTCGGACCGCCTCTTCCTCTCCCAGTCGGTCCGACGCACGTTTCCACCATAAACTGGGCCTACTTTGGCACCTTCGTATTCTTTCTCGGATCGTTCTGGAACTAATCGATATTGTCTTAACGAGCTCTCCAGCTCGACGGCATCCCAATTCAAACTATTTAAGGTGAAGTGAAACCCCCCCTCGCATCGATCGACTCGAATGAGACACTTTTTTTAAGGGTATTGGACCAAACTGTCCGAAACTTTGACCCTTCGCTCGTGAGCACCTAGCAATTATCCCGACGCATTCAACGTTTTCATTTTCGAAACTAATTTTTTTCACTTTGCCTTGACCAGTACCAACATGGCGTCGAGCTCTCGTATTTCGATCGATAAACAAGTATCGAAGGCTCTGATATGAGAAACGAAAGCGTTAGGACGATTGGACAACGATTTAGAACGCTCTGGGAATCGAGAATTTCGCATTTGAACGAGGTAAAGGCAAAAAAGTGTCCTTAGCGTTTCTATGCTAAAACGATGGGACGATGCTGAAACGAGGTCTGGAGAGAAAATTCAGTTGCCCCTGAAATCACGGATGGCGCAGGGTGGCCCTCCGCAGTCAATTAGGGCATCGAAAACCATGAATCCAGAGGATTTCTGCAGTTTTACTTCGATTACTTTATAATTACTGGACGGAAACGACATATGGAGGGCGCTATTTGGGACGACACCCGATATTATTCGAAAAACTATTAATACAAATGCGAAACAAATATGTCCTGTACAACTTACGAAGAAATAAGTTTCATTCGAGCATATTTGTTTTGAATGAAACGGAACGTTTCCTCGGGGTGCCAGACCAAGACCCGAGAATGCCAGACCAAGACCAACCCCACGGGAGTGCGTTTTCTCATCACCGTTGGAAAGACATCGGTTGCCGATGACGTTCAAACCCAACAATGCAGGTGCAACACTCGGACATCCGGGTAGAGTTCTCGAACTCCGTTCTTTGTTGGTTGGCATTTACCCGGGCAGGCGTGCATCTCACTGTAGACGGTGGGGCATTAATTTAGTACAATGTGTTCTCGGATCGCTTAGAAATAAGTTGCGCAAGTTGCGCAAGTTGCACTTAGCTATGTCTCTTCTACATAGGCTTCGGTCGGTCGGCTATAGCGGATTTATCCGCCTGTACGGTGCGTTCCCACGCCTAGGGTACGCGAGCCGGTCTGAGGCCTTATGGATCTTGGCCGATCCTATTCTTGCAGGCCGAGCAGACTGCGGCATAAAATATGGAGCACTGTTCTAACGCAATACGGTCCGGGCGCTCGTCCCTGGCTTCGGATACCCCGGACGGCAAGATCCTTCATCGCCCTCGCATTTACGCATTTTAAGGTGACGCGAAATAATCATTCTATACATTTAGAACACTTTCCTCCAAACCGGGTCCACCGTATCGTTGGAAACATCAGCACGTGATTATGGAGACCCTAGGGCAAAACGTGGTGCTCGTCAATTTTCATTTTTAATACTCCAATTTTTTTCCTTATCTCAGCCTGGACCCAAAAACACATTTTTCTTTTTTATGAAATTTCATGAGCACCGCGTTCTTCCTCGGGGCCTCCATAATCACGTGCCGAAGTTTCAAATGATTCGGTGCACCACAATTGGAGAAAAGTTTTATACATTTTCTAACGTTTTATATATGTAGAATGACCTTTTCGTATCACCTGAAGATAATATGAAACCCCCCTGAAATCAGTCGACTCGAATATGACACCTTTCTTCAACCCGTTTAGGGACGGACAAAGATATATCGTCGTTTTACAAGCGTTAACGGCTTCGGCCGGCACCAAAAGGGTTAAGGGTATTGGACCAGTGTCCGAAACTCTGATACCTGACATTCGAGCACTTAAGGGGAAGTGAAACGCGTCGAGAAATTTGATCGACGTCGGTATAAAAGGTTCTTCTAAATACCTACGTTGCCGACGTTAGTATTTATATCGACAGTCGGGTCGAATTATATCGGGTATTGCATTAAATGGCATCCTCCTTGTGTCGCTTCCGTATAATACTTTTAAAGTAATCGAAATAAAACTGTAGAAATCACCTAGATTATCGTCTCGATACAAGAAAATGATAAAATGCCTGTAAACGCCCTGGACATTTGGATTCCGATGTGATACAATTAGCATATCACCTGCTCACAAAATTAAAGATCTGCTAACTACATCGCAAATTACGGTACACCTTCTGATTATGGTGGGTCAATCGGGTGGCGTTCATTCTCATATTTGATGTTTTCATGACCAACCAATATTTTTCAAAAAACATGAAATGTCGATTATGATAAAAAACGTAACGACTGTGCAATACCTCATTGCCTATTTAAGGTGATGTGAAAGTGACATCAAAGAGGTCTCGTTAATAAAACTTTTCTCCGAACCGAGTATATTGAATCGTTACAAACTTTACGAGGTGAATGTGGAGGCAATAAGAAAGGTCCTGACACTCCTGACATTTCAATTTTTTTTAAATTTTTTATAAACAATCACATTTCATGGGTATAAGGACCTTCCTTGTAGCCTTCACATTCACGTTGTCAAGTTTGAAACGGTACGGTACAATTAGTTTCTATTTGATACGATATTTCTTATTTAATACGTTTCTATTCGCATTTTTGTAAACCCTGGACATTTTACCCAACTTTAGCCTGACGGTCGAATATCATTTCTGTTTGCAGACCGTGGGACTCGAACAAAGGATGCCGTGGTCGCTCTCGGGAGAATCGAATTCCTGCTAGAAGAGGAAGGTGCGTTTCAAAAACGAGGCACATTTCGTTTACTGATCGCGGGCGATCCTCACCCCGCGCGGGTGAAGTCGCCCCAGAGGGATAGTCATCGAGTACCAAGTAGCCGTGCCTCCTCTCGTCCTCTCGATGGACCTGACGGAGGCGTTTGCCCCGGGAGGTGGGGGCGAGGACCTCGCCAAGACGGACTTTTTCGACTTCGTGGTGTCCCCGCCACCAGCGCCACCCCATTGTGCCTCGACGGACGGGATTTCCGACGAAGAAAGCTACCTGCACCGTGGAGGATGCAGAAGCATCGGCTTCCTGCAAGATCCTCGCCACGAGGATCACGAACAACACTCGGGTTTCGTGAAAGAAACGAACAACAACACCCTTACGGCATTGCCGCCGGTGTCGACGATCACTGGATCCTTGGGACACCACCATACTCACCACCACCACGGTCGCAGTCATCACGGTTGTGGAGTGCAGAGTCCAGCCGACGTGGCAATGGACCAGTCGGATTGCGACTACTGGACGGACGATAGCAAGGAGCAAACCTGCAACATCCTTTTAGAGGATCTGAATAAATATTGCTGGTCGGCAAGTGGTCCCGGACCACACGAACACGGCGACGGAGTTTCCGCAGCGGGCGATGCTGGCCTTCCAGGCCGCGGGTGTTCCGTCAGCAACCGGCAAAATACCGACGGCGCCATCTACACGCTTACGGTACTGAATAACGAAGCAAACTCCATGGATGGCATCGATTGTTGCAAGAGTCCAACCGCGCCTTCCGGGGATTCGTGGTCGCTGCGACCGAATCTCGACTTGGACGCTATCCTCAGTCTGGAATCGACTGGAGAACACGAGCACGATCAAGCCTCCGACTGCAACACCCGTAGCATCGCCAACGATAGGTACCACGGAATCACGGTGACGGCCTCGCCATTTGTTACCGACGACAGCGGCTTTGGAGAGAGCAAGGACATTTGTTCCGGTAGAACGGGTCAGACGCGACCCGCCGGGGACAACAACAACGACTGGAAGCTATCCGATCAGAACCACCTAAGAGAAGCCGCCGTGGCTGTGAGCGATGCCGCGGAGAGTCTCCTTAGAAGTGCTCTACAAGGCAAATTGTACGCTGCAAGCGCGGCCCAAGTTGCAGCCTCCACTTCCCAAACTGGCGGTGGAAACTCCTTGGCCATGTCGGCAACCAGCGGCACTGGTGCCGGTACTACGACTGGCGGTCTCACGAATATGATGGCGCAAGACCATCATCAGCAGCAGCCAGCCCCCCAGCAACAACAGCAACAGGAGGAACCGATGCACTCCTGCACCGAGGAAGACCTCCTGCTGTCGGAACTGGATGCCAGTACGTATCGACCCGGTGACTACGAGAAGTTGAAGAGCATCGCCAACGAGGTGGTCGAGTCTTACTGTAATCTGGAGCCCGTTTGCAACGTAGCCGCTACCACGACCACCGTCATGTACACCCTGGATCCCGCAAGCGGTAGTCTGGGGACAATTACTCTACCCGCTGACCTAAGTCAAGTAGGTACCGTGACCGTTGTCACGGCTTCTCAGCAGGACGTCATGCAATCTGCCGGCAGAGCCGATCCCGAATCGACCAGCCAGAGCCACATGCAGATCACGGCCAGTCGGGTGGTCTCAGCTGCCGGTTCAACGCCTTCCAAGACCCCGAAAAAGTACTGCAGACGAGCCAATCGCAGCGGCAACAATGGGAACGTGGCCAATTCTCAGAGTTCCGCAGCCACGACGGGAAATGGCGCGTCCGGTCAGCAACAAGGCTCGCAAACTGCTGCCGGTGGCTCCCCCGGAAGTGTCCAGAGGAAGGAACGCTCCCTTCATTACTGCAGCATCTGCAGCAAGGGCTTCAAGGATAAGTACAGCGTCAACGTCCACATTAGAACGCATACGGGAGAAAAGCCGTTCGCTTGTTCTTTGTGTGGCAAAAGTTTCCGACAGAAAGCGCATCTCGCGAAACACTATCAAACCCACGTTGCACAGAAACCCAGCATCGCCGGGGCAGCCAGCAACGGGAATGCCACAACCACTGCTAACCAGACCGGAAATGGAACTTCATCGGATGCCAACTCTTCCAGGAGTCAAACTCATGTTTCTAATGATCCTTCCACTTGTAATCCGTCCAGCTAGTTTTTTATATATTCTATATATTATACGTATACGTATTATTGTCGCGATCTTCCCTTCTCTTGCCGTCTCATCTTGTATCTTGATATCTTGATCCTTGTGTTTCTCCAGAGATAGGCGATTGTTATTAACTTAGGTATAACTCGTTGAAATTTAATCACTAATTCGAGGAACCATCGTTTAATCGCGTCCTTCCGTCGATCGTAATGCCGTGCCGTCAAATGGTACGTTAAAGTTAATCTTTCATTTCTGGGATAGTTGAAAACTAATTCACTTTGATGTAAGATTGTCATTAATTAGTGATTAAATTTCGATCGGTAGCTCGTAAGTTGGTTAATTGACTACTTATCGTTTAACGTAATAGGTGACAACGAATTGCAAGGTGCCCGTCTTTGTTACTCACTTTAGCATTCCTCTTTTTGCTACCTTCCGTTTCGTCTGACAATTTCTTCGCGTTAGGCACAATTGGTTCGGAACTGTGCCAAATTGTTCGCTTCGAGGAGATATTCACTCAGAAAATCGTGGATTTTAAGGTGATGCGAAAGCGACCTCGAAGAGGCTTCGTTTATGAAACTTTTCACCGAATTGGGGGTACCGAATCGTTTCAAACTTTACGATGTGAACATGGATGGCCGTAAAGAAGGTCCCGGCTCTCTCGCAAATTCAATTTTTCGAAAATATCTTTATAGCCGTTTTAAACACTTTTTATAAAAAATGAAATTTCACGGGGGTCGGGATCTTCCTTATAGCCTCCATATTCACATGGTAATGTTTAAAACGATTCGGTACCCCGAGTTTGGAGAAAAGTTTCATGAACGATTCACCTCTTGGATGCCACTTCCACATCCCCTTAATGCTCGAAATCACGTGGAAATCACCAAAACTTTGCCTCAATTTTAAGGCCGACTGTCCCTTGTTACCGAATCGCATTGTTAGGTAGCATATGAAATCAGAGGCAATCGGTTCTTAACGAAGGAAATCGTTTTCACTGATTTCCGAGTGAATAGCCCCCGGGCTCTCGTCGTCCAACGCGTTTGTTATATTTTCCGTCCTTATGTCAGTGTTGGTCGGTCGGTCAAAATCGACCACCGATCGACGTAATTTAGCAAACTATGCTCGGTAATGCTTGGCGTGGATGCTCGTAACCTCCAACTTACTTGAAATTTCTAAACGAATGCCGAGGGTTCCTAGCTTAAACAACACCTGGCCCGCCATTGTGCCGAACATGTTTGATACGCAGCATCGACAACAATGGTGAGGAAAAAAATTGGTACGGCGGACTCCATCGTTACGTCCATGAAGTATTAGGATGAGGAATAAGTTCCCGCCGTTTTAATTACGTTACGTTACGTTGTAATTACGAACTTTTTCCTCAACCTAATAGTATAAGGAGACATTACGCCAATGGTCGATTTCACAAAAAGTGGCTCCAGGGACTCGATTCTCGAGTTTATTGGATCAGCTTTCGTATGCGAAATTGACAGTTTCGTATGAGACTTTGATACGTTGGCCAATGACGTAATTTTGCAACAATGCAAAATTTTCCATGCGAATCTCTTCGTACGTGAAAAAAATTCGGAGGAACTCAAGAATCGAGACCCAGAATATAAGATTTTCGCTGATCCAACGACGCGAGCGCTCCTCGCGGAGAATGAAGGAACTCCGATCCTACGTGACCGAAGCGCTTCCTCCCGATGTAAATGACCTAAAGTGCTTTTAATTCTGCAATTAATGTACCCAAAGTGAAACGATAATCCATGCATGATATACGGATTGACTACGTGTCCATCGTACTCGAGATCTGGAATCTATCGGATCCAAACCCAGTAAATCCGAATGTAAGCGTCGATCGGGGCGCTCGGAATCGAATCCGCGCAATTATTAATGCGATTCAGATTTGCGATTTACTGGATCCAGACCCGATAAATCCCGGATCGAGGTGTACTCGATGCGATGTTTTTATTTTTTTAACGTGTCAAAGGCTAGCAGACCCGTTAGCGGACGACAATGTTCAATTGCAATATTTCATCGCGGAGGCGCTCTCGGCCCCGGCTCGGAAAAAACGAGAGGTTATTCATCGAGGAAATTGTGAATTTTAATGCTGGAAATCATTGGAAATCACCGACGCATTCTCGCGTCGAACGTCCCTTGTTACCGAATCTCATTGTTGTTTATCATATGAGATATGAGGCAATCGATTCTCAATGAAGGAAATCGGTTTGACTGATTTCCGAGTGAATAGCCTCTCGGGAAAAATCTGACGATCTCGGACCCCAAAAATGGGGACGACTTGGCGTTGCATCTCCTTATACTCTTAGGTTAAGGAATAAGTTGCCGTCGTTTTAATTACGTTACGTTACGTTACCTTGAAAACGGCGGGAACTCGTTCCTCGAGCTAATACTCGGTGGTTACGTTTTTCCCTGCCCTTGTCAAGTTTGTTCGGTATACGGTTTGTACAACAAAGAGAACACTCGGCCCGTTTCTGGCAAAGACGCATCCCCGAGTTGGATGGCGATTTAAGAACCTACGTCTCTCGATTTCTCTCTCTGGCCGACAAAAAGTTCTCGATAAAGAGAGAGAAAGTCCTCAAATTGTGTTATTATGAATAGTTTGCAATCACGCGTGTGTACGTTATTTTATTTATTTTAAGAGCCGCGTTCAAGACTCCTAAATGGTTCGGTTGAAGGGTAAAAAACCGTGGTTGTGTATACAGGTCGGGATACTTTCCAATTTCTTTCCCGTCTATACTTTGAAAGAAAGCCGCAAACTTTATTACGAGCGTACGGTATATGCGAAGCACTTTCGTTGCATCTCTCAAAGAAATTACAATTTCACGTTCTTTTGGCATTTCGATCTATTGAGAAATCAAACGCAGTCATCGTTGGGGGACTTTTTAAAAATGTGGTTAAATCACTCGAATCTTCCCTTGTACGCGATTTACTTCCTTCAAGTAATTTTAATAAATTGATATTTTATCCGAGAAAGATATTTGAAGCGTATAGTTTACCAGAAAAGTTGACACGAGGAAAAAAGCACGCTCTCCTTCCGTTCATAGGACGAACATCTCTGTGTATACCGCTTGTACCCTTTTTAAATATTGCTCTCCATTTTCCTTCAATTTCAATTTTCCTCCTATTTACGCCTAAACGAGTCCTTGCAGTTCGTTCCCAGGGCCGACTCAACGTTGTTGTATTCAATCACATCAAAGATATTTACGATACATACGTAAAATTACTTTCATCGAGTAACGCTTCTCTTTTTCCCTTTAAAGAAATCAGCTTCTGAAAAAGATTAGCCGTAAATTGCTGGAAAGAAACAAAGTCACATTTTGAGTTTCGCTTTCTTCCTGGAAATCGGAATTACGGAGTACCATAAGTTGGATTTACTTGGACACTTTTTTCCGCGGGTTATTTGAGATCATTTTTAAACCGATCAATATTTCGGTCTTAAAAAATCGTCCAAGTAACGGTAAGATACTAAACCTAACGGCAGAAATATTGAATCATCGAGACGTCTTCAAAAATCTGTCGCTTGAGATATTTTGCAACGATTGGAAATAAATATTTCTAATTCATTCTGTGCTCCTAGGGTGGGAACTCTCCACTGCGTATTTTACTGGTGTCAACTTTTACGGCAAACTATCTCATCGCTTACGCGTTAATCTTACGTTTCGCGTACACTCCCCGCGTTGAATATTGTCTCCTGTCGTAACATTTTCCGTACTCAGTCCTTTCGTTATCATAACCGGGAGAACATTAGGAGGTACGGTCGTTATCAGCCGTAAACTTACACTCGAGAGTCTAAAACGTGACACGTGCTTCGCAATGACAGGGCAACTCCATTAAATGAGAGGAACGTGGTTTCCAATTTAGCCGTTCGGCCAGGTGGAATCGCTCCGAAGTATGCGGATCTGAATACACCCTGCGGACAGGTACTTGAGAAAAATTCGTTTATCGAATATTTCGACGAAACTCATTCAGAGAATTCTCCCCAGATGTTGGTGGAATTCTTCTCGAGTTGTTTTATACACGGTGAAACGCTATAGTTACGTATTTAAGCAATTTCCCTTCCAATGGGACGTTTCCGAACGGCATCATCGACATTCATCATCGAGGCAGATTGCCGGAAGTAAATAACGAACGTTTGGTAAATGGTATATCGGCACGAGAGATATTAATTAGATATATAAATATATCATTACTGTGAATTAGTAATTAATCTATACGTAAGTAAGGTCTTAACGAGACGAGGACGTTCAAATAAGTAATTAGTAGCACGAGCTGTGATTTAGATACATACTCAACGAGTGATTAGTGGAGTGCGTAACTATGTACAAGATGTGCGTTAGAATCGACGACGACGTCGATTTCGCTTGTTCGGTTTGGACCGTCGGTTCATTCGCGGCCAAAAAGCGTTTCTGCGAGCCCAATTTCCCGTTGACCGGTTGGATGTAGCTGGGTGTATCCTGTCCATGATGGAAACACGTTTCCAGGGTCGTTAAGTTGTCCAGGACGTTATCGCGCAGTTTGCTCCGAGAAGAAAGTGTCATCGAACCAAAGAAATATTTCCTTCGTTCCAGGAACAATTGTTTTACTCGAATAAATTGGCATCGTTCCGAATAAATGTTGCATCCAATTTATTCGAGGTCATTCGAGTGAAATAATTATTCTCTGAATTAATAAAATATTTCTTTGGTTCAATGAGATTTTCTTTCTCAGGGTGCTTGGTTTTCAAATCAATTTTTTATTTTATGGCCATGCTATATGCTATTTCAAAGCGCAGACTTCACTCTACAGTTTTATAATAGAGATTGTGTTTTCAATATTAACTTCTCTTTTATTTACCCCATTTGAAGACGGGAAAACCAAATTAGGAAGATTCTCTGGTACGAGCTCAAAATGTGAGCCGTCGTTAGTAGAATATTTTCTAAATATTTCTTTGTAATCTTGGGGAAATATTTTGAGCAACAGAATTTTTAAATGAATTTTAAATGAATTATTTCAATCGCTCGGTATCCCCAACAATTCGAAATGTAAATGGTCAATGCGAAACCGACAGAAGTTTCGGATCGGGAACTCGCAGAAACTCGACAATAGGTACTCGAACGCAAAGACTCATCTTTCGAATCTTACTGTACGCCCTCTCAAGTGCCGACCGAGGATACATAGTTTATTATTTTTTAAATAGAATATACTCATGTAACGCGCAAACTCATTGTCGCTGCTGATGAGTCCCGCGTGTCCTGCTCTCTATCTTCGGATCGGAAATCGAAGGGCGTACAAGACCTTTTATACTCATTTTTAACCTATTATTCTGCCTTCTTTTATTAATACTTCGTCGATTTATTTCACCGTTGCCCGCGAAAGTAACTCGATTTTGCCCTAATTCCCAGTAGCACCGAATAATTTCTAAATATTTTTTTCGAATCTTTGCAAAATATCTCCAGCGACAAATTTCTTACGATGTCTCGTAGATTTCATTCGAGGATATCTAAAATATTTGTTGAAAACCGCAAAGGCGTATTTAGTTTTAATAATTTATAAACATGTATCGAAATTATATTCCTTAATTTATGAACATATAATAAAAATACAATTTTTACTTTACGATTATTATCGGACACTTCATTTGGTATCAAAAAACAAAATTTTTACAATATTTTGTTCCTCTATTTCATTATGGAAGCAAAACGTGTGATTTTGATTTCATATCTTTTTTA